TCTATTTTATTGAATATTGTTGGATGACAAAGTAATCTTTGCTCAGATCATGCTATCAGATGTAAAAAGGGCTTATATATTTTACTCTGACAAAGCTAACTGGAGTAGAAAAAATTTACTTTTCTATGCATGTAGACTATATAAATAAAAACATGTGTTTACAAGACAAAACATACTTTACTTACAGTTATCAGTTATATAGTTTACAATTTTGCTCAATTCACTTTAAATAAAAACATTCAATTCTTGCCTAATCAACATTAAGTAACTCTACAAGTGGGATATTTTAATTCCAAGCAAAAAAANTCCTGTCCACCATTAAACCATCTTTCCAAGCAGCTTCCATGTCTCCAGTGTGTTTTTCCCCACTTGAAGCCGAACCCAGAAGGATATTTCTTTCAACACTTGTTTGCATGGCCCCGTTTCTGGCATGCCAAGGACCAGTGCTGGTCCACGGACTGGGGTTTGGGACCCCTGTTTTAACTAGCCAATTCTAGAGAGAAAGGCTTTTGCCTAAATTGTCAATCAGCATTGAAATGAATTGATACATCAACATCAACAATAGCACCAGATTAGAAACCAGGAGATTGTGAGTTCAAGTCCCACTTTTACCATGAAAACCAACTGTGACTTTGGGTCACTCATTCTCTCAGTCCATCACACCTAACAGGATTATTGTTTTGGGGAAATAGGAAGAGGATGGTGGACCAGAAACGTTAACCACCTTCAATTATTTGTAAAAGTAATGAAGGTGGTATGCAAGAGTGGTATTCAGCAGGTTCTGACCAATTCTGGAGAACCAGTAGTGGAAATTTTGAGTAGTTTGGAGAACCGGTAAATACCACCTCTGACTGGTCCCGCCCCCATCTATTTTCTGCCTCCTGAGTCCCAGCTGATAGAGAGGGAATGGGAATTTTGCAGTATCCTTCCCCTGGAGTGGGGAGGGAATGGAGATTTTACAGTATCCTTCCCCTGCCATGCCCACCAAGCCACGCCCACCAAGTCAGGCCACGCCCACAGAACCGGTAGTAAAAAAACTTTGAATCACACCATTGATACACATTCATTTATTAATCTTTAGGGACAAGCAAACTTCAGACTGGAAACAATATTGAAGGAAAGCAGATTAAAAACAAGAAAGTCCATCATAGGTGATTTCAGATGGTGGGAGAAATATGAAATAAACTTGATGTGTAAATGCATTAAAGTGCATGTACAATACTGAAGGAAGCTGAAGATCTTTTAGACAACAAGCAGGTGGCAGCTGTGGCTGGGGAAGGGAGGAACTTTACATAGATTTGTTTAATGTGCCAATTGTGCCCTTTCTTTGACCATGGTTATTCATGCTTTGGTCATCTCCCATGTGGATTACTACAATGTGATCTATGTGAGGCTGCCCTTGAAGACCACCCAGAAAGTTCAAGTGCTCCAGAATGTAGCAATATGCACAGTACATAGGCGTGCCCATGTAACACCTCAGTTGCACGAGTTGAACTGAATTCCAGTTTCTTTCCAGTTGCAATTCAGCCTTATCTGCAGGATTGCCTTTTTAAAGGACATCTACCCATCCTATCAGAACAAAAAGGGTAGGCACACTCCTAGTCTGTTCCCCTAAATGTTGCCATCTGAAGTATACCTTTCCTGTGGCAGCTCCTGTCCAATGGAACACTCTTACACCTAAAGTTCAGCAGGCATCCACCCAGCCTAGCCTTCCATAAAAGTTTTGAAGGCTTGGCTTTTCTGGTCAGTGCTCAGATTGAAGAGGAAATAACCCTACAAGAAATTAGGTAGCTTAATATCGAAGTGCTACAGGTGGTTCTCAATTTACATTCAAAATTACAAAGACTGAAAAAGGATAACTTATGAATTGGATCCAAAGTTAAGGACAGTTGAGTCCCCTCTGTTTGCATGATTAAATTTCAGGTACTCAGCAACACAGCACACTTACAACCATTTGCAGTTTCCCATGGTCCCATGCAAAATTGGCAGAAATATGAAAAAAAGAGAGATTACTTTGATTCATAAAAGTAAAATTCCCATGCAAACCCATTTTTATCTCATACCTCCTGAAATTTTGTAATGGCGGGCGGGGGGGGGGACATTTAAATTAAATTCTGAAGAAAATATATGGAACACACTTTTAGCATTTATTAAGCACAATTGATTTATTATTGCATGAAATCTATTTTGTATAATTTAGTCTGCTTTTAAAATTATATTTAGTGTATTCTTTTTTAAAAGAAACATTTCTTTAGACCAGTCCTACACAACCTGTAGAAGGCAAAAGCCACATTAGTAAAATTGCAGGACAATGCAATACCTGGTCTATTTTCAATAATCTGGCAACTAGAAAAGCGTCAACAATGCTGGAGCTGATGGTAACAAGTAAGGCTCGGAGGCACTCAGCAGTGCATCCTTCAAGAACAGCTGTTCTAAGCTCATTGTTAAAAAAGAAAAACCACTGGCAGGCTGCATAAGGCAGAATGCGGTCTGTGGGCTGGATATAGCGGAGGCCTGCTTTAGACAATGATGGGTATGGTTATGCTCTGGGGTTAAAGGCAAAGCTACTTGACATGATTGCCCTCAAGGGACCTTTATCTGCCACTTGGTTTATTGAGGAAGTCTAGAAGATCAAATAACAAAAGAGAGACTTTGATCACTGCTGGGGGAAGAAAAAGAGTAAATTTGACTGGCACAGCTAAGAACCTATACCATAGGAGGAAGGGTGGCAGAGCATTAATACACCTCTGCCCTGCTAATGGTGAGTTGTCACCCAGCAGCACTATTTAAGGTGGTCGGTTCCCTGTTGAAGGAGGATGGGCAGAAAGAGCTGTCATCAGACCGCTGTGACATGTTTGCATGCATTTTATCTATAAAGCTGCCTGCTTAGCAACCATGGTGATTCACTTAATGACCACTGCCATAAGGTCATAAAATCAGGCAGTCATGTGGTGACCTGCTTAGTGATTGACACACTTATGACCATAATTCTGGGCTCACTTTTGATCATATGTCGAGAACTATCTATAACATTGTTCGCTGCCCAGAGTTGCCTCGAACCACAAGATGGACATGATATAAATTTAATAAACATGAGATCCATCCCTTCTGACTTGAATCTATTCCTTTCCTTGCTCCTTCATTAGTTGGAGTGGTGGGAGCAGAGTAGCTGGAACTGGGATGCTGATTAAAGCTTCTTTGGAAGAGGAGGGTTGGGTCAGAAGCCATATAGAAGGCTTCTGTAGTATCTTTTGAAGAGGCTTAAGTTAGATCAAGTTATATTAGACTACTCTCTTCATCCTTTCTTTTCAATCTAGGTCACCTTTTGATGGGGCTTCAGTGACAAAAAATACTAGAGGAAGCAGTTTACCCACTGCATTAAATTCAAGTTTTGGGAATAGGACAGAAATGGCATTAGTTGTCTTTTCTTAAGACTTGGATATTGGAGAGTGCACCTTCCTGGTCTCTCTTGATCATAAAGCAAAGTGTAAGAGTAAGTAAGAGGTACTGTTTTGAACTGGTTCGTCTGCTCCTTCAGTCAATGGGAGGAAGGAAAGCTAGATATCAGCTTAGTAGTCCCTCCCTTGTGGATTCTTCTCACCTCTACTTCTTAACATCTAAGTGAAATTGCTAGAAGAAGGTTGGTTGTTTGGGGGTACAATATATGGTGATGACCTAGCAGTTCAAAAGCATGTAAAAATGCAAGTAGAAAATAGGAACCACCTTTGGTGGGAAGGAANTTATATAGTTTACAATTTTGCTCAATTCACTTTAAATAAAAACATTCAATTCTTGCCTAATCAACATTAAGTAACTCTACAAGTGGGATATTTTAATTCCAAGCAAAAAAAACCTAAGGTTTTTGTTTTATGAAAACTTTTAAAAATCTTTTAAAACTACCTTCATATGTGTTTCCTAATTACCTAATTGTTCTCAAATGAAAATATCTAGTCCAAAGAGCAATAAATATGATATGGGCAAATTGTTTTCCTCTTTTAGGTTGCTATTATAGTTTTGGTGGATGAACTACAACTTTTATAGACTCTTGAAAAGTTTTCGACTAATTTACCCAAAAAAGAAGTTGTTTAATCGGAATTGGAAATAGCTACCGAATACCTTCAAACTGCAGAACTTGGAAGAGGAAGTAAAACTCTCATAAGTTCATCAGGCCTTTACAGCTGTATAAACTTACTTAAGAATTCTTTATTCTTTATTGGCCAAGTGTGATTGGACACACAAGGAATTTGTCTTTAGTGCATATGCTCTCAGTATACATAAGAGAATAAAATACATTCATCAAGAATAAAAAAATACAAGACTTAGTGATAGTCAAGGTTACTAATAAGTTATCAAATCATATCAGGAAACAATTAAAAACATATTGAAGGATACAAGCAACATGGTTATAGTAATAAGTTGGAAAAGATAAGATACTAGTAATGAAAAGAAGAATAGTAATAAGTCTTAGTCTCAACTTCAGTCTTAGTCTTAACTACCAAATAGAGAAATTCGATCTTCCCTGCCCAACACCTCTTAAACTTTTTTAACCTACCAAAGAAAAAGAATTTCGACTATAATATCAACAGATGAAGGGGAAAAGTTACCCTTTCAGAAATAAGTTTCAACTGAATCATCAATGCAAAATCAAGCAGTTCCATTGCAATACACTACCTTCCACTGTGGAACAAAGAAATTCCTGTTTGAGAAGCTTTAGCCCCGTTCCGCCGCCCCCGCCCCCCAACACCAAATCCGCTTTCTTTCACTTCACTTCGGCCACGAACAAGTAGCGAGACAGAGACGTCTATTGCAACTTTTTCATAGGATTAGGGGAGTGAACTCCACTACTTGTATTGCAAAATCAATTATGCGAGGGAGCAGATCAGGATCTCGGGGGGGGGGGTATTACTTTCCCCCTCCCGCGCAAAGCAATTTTCCTATAAACATCCAACCACCCAACAGCTCGACATTCACATTCGGACTTTTGACGACGATTCGCCCACCTTACACTTCGGCCGTCCCGGTTTCCTCCATCTACAAGCGGATCCCTTTGGCCGCTCCGCGACGCTTTAAATCCAAGCCAAGTTTTCTTGAGTTCAAAAAAAAAAAAAAAAAAAAGGAGAGCGAAGCCGAGGAGGAAAAGGCCAACCTCGGCGAGGGCAGCGGGACACGACCGAAAGGAGAGGCCAGAGAGAAGCGGGGCTGGAGGGAAGGGAGGTCTTTTTTTTTTGTCCCTTTCCTTCCCCGCCGTTTCACTTTTTCGAGCAGGGGAAGGAGGTCTCGGCGGGTCTCGGCGTCTTCGCCCTCTTTCCGCTGACAAATATGCGGTTTCAGGTGCTTCGCGCAGGGACACACCGCCCAGTCCCGGCTTTAGAGTCACTTCCTGCCCTCTCGAGGGGGCGGCGGCGGCTAAGAGCAACAACGGGGCCGCAGTGCCTGCGCAGCAGCCTGGCTTGGTTCTTCCGAAGCGGGAGGCCGATCCCTCTCGCTACCCCCACCACCTCCGGCTTCGTAGGCCGGGCCCCGGATGCCGTAGCAGCAGCGCCTGCCGCAGCCCCCCGTTAGCGCCGCCGTCGCTGCTCCTGCCCGAGCGGCCGCACGCGGTGGGGCGGGGGGGGAGAAGAGCGGGGCTTCCGCGAGCGTTCCCCGCTTTCCTTTCTTTCTTCACCTCGGCCCCTCAGTCTCTCTCTCCTTCTTCGCACGCCCGGCTCCTCCTCTCCACACTTCCCCCTTCCTTCCTCTCGCCTTTCCCGCCCCTCTCCCGTTCGGCAGCTCCCTCCGTGGGCGCCCGCCGGCGACTTCGTTCCAGCGTCTCCGCCGCGTTCCCCCCAGAGAGAAGGGCGGCGGCGGGAGAGCAAGCAGGCAAGAGCGAGGGAGGGCGCTCGCGGCCCACGAGGGCGGCGGGGACGGTGCTGTTGCTACTACTACGATTACCACCGCCGCTGAGTCGGGGAGGCGGTGGGGGGGGGGGGGAGAGAGAGAGACTGCAGCGCCGCCCAGACAGCCAAGCGTGACTGAATGATACTCTCCTCCTCCTCCCCCCCCCCTCAGACTTTCAGCCTCGGAGCCAGACAACAAGTCTAGAACCAAGTCGAAGCGAGAGGCAAGCGCGACTTAGCCAATCGGGAGCGAGGAGCCGCTAGCAACAGCCAATGACCCTGCTCGGAAGGGCGGCCGTGAAGGGAAGAAAGATCATGTTAGGATGTGTAGGAAAGAAAAAGACGGGGAGGAAAGCGGCGCTGGGGGGTGGGAGCTGAGGGGAGAGAAAGAGGTGGTGAGGTAGAGAGTTCCAACCACCGAAAAGGATCTCAGACTTAGTGTTTTGTGCCAGGGAAATAGGAGAAAAGGTTGAAGGCGAGATTAGATTTGGGGAGGGGGGGGGAGTCGTGGGCCTTGAAAAGCGATTGCGGGCGGGGGGGGGGGCGGCATGGAAAAGGAAGGAGCGGGTTGAGCTAATTTACAAATATAATTAAGGAAGGTGAAGGAGGGGTATTAATCCTTGAGTTATCGTTGAGGAGCTGTGAGGAAGAGGTATCCCAGAGGTGGAAAACACCGGATCAGGAACAATTTGGGCAAAATTGTGACACCGACTTGGCCCTATGCAGTAGTGGTGTAGTTATGTAAAATAAGGTTTGAAGCAGCCGTTTCCAACCTAATACTCTCCCGAGGTGTTGGACAAGTCTGATCTTTCTGATCTCAGCCAAAATGCCAGTAGACCATAATAAGATTTTTTGTAGGACGTTAGCACCCACCTCTGTCCTAGAAAATGACATATTAAAGGGCAGAATGTTTCCCCCTAAAAGGGAGGAAGAAATTCATCCCCACCACCTTTGTCAATGGACCATTAAGGCCTGGGCCAGAGAAACATGTTTTTAGGCAGGAAACAGACTCACTCTTAATAGTCCCCACCTTTGTCAATGGGCCATTAAGACCTGAGCCAGTCTATTCTACATAACAAAGATCTACAGGCAGAGCCATAATAGGAATCCCAAAGCCCTTTCATTCCATCACCCAGCAAGGCTCAACCAACCTCGGACTTAAAGCACGGCCTACAGAGTTGCCCCTGTGTGGCCCCATGGGAGTCTGAGAGCCAATCAGAGTGCATTTTTTGCACAGGAGCCCCTGGGTGGGCATAAAACCCAGGGACTCTCAGCAAACCAGCCCTTTTTTTTCTTCTTCAACATCTTTGAGATATGATCCCCCTTTTCCCCAGGTGGTTCTGTCCACCATTAAAACCATCTTGTATATATTTTCATAAATCCAGTATTTAATACTACATATAATTACGGCGGCAAGGATTGCCTTTGCCCAGAAATGGAAAAACAAATGAATTCCAAGCGAAGATGAATTAATATGAAAGGTTATGGATTGTGTTGAAATGGACAAATTAACTAAAGAAATCCATGGAAAAGAAGAATCAGAATTCTACCAGATATGGGATAAATGGTATAGGTGGATGGAGGAAAGAAACAAGAATCAATGAAGGAAGACAACAAAGCCCAAAAATAGTACTTAAGGATATGTATCCAAGTGGTTTAAA